GTTCCCACACCCCCTGCACTTAAGTTCTTTGCTCATTAGCCCAGAACCGGAATGTCTCCCCTTTCATGGAATTCGTGGCTTCTGGCACTGGTATTGTTTGCCTGACCTGCGCCCATCTTGTGTAAATGATCCTTTGGCAATGAATCCTGAGCTGTCGTGTGATGGATTTTGCACACCAGCTTTGGACCCATTCCATCCTTGATGCCTAGAAGTGGGGAATTGAGAGTCACAAAAGTCAGTACATGAAGCTAAAATGGCTGTGGTCCAAATCATCCTGCAAACCAAAGGAGCCAACACTGCCATGCTCCGGAGAAGGTCTGGTTGGAAGTATGGTTGAGACGTGGCAAGAAAGAAATGTGCTAAAAGAGATTTTTCTCTTTTCCTCCCCCACACCCAGATTTTGTAGTTAGCTTTCCCACATTGTGGGGAATTCATGTCATGTTTGTGAACGAGCCAAGGTGGGCCCAGCCTCCCAAAAACATAGGGGGAGCCCTTTGTGACTACTTTAGTGGACCACAGAGCAGGACAGGTGCTGGGTGCAAGCCTCTGGGTTAAGAGTAGGGTCAGGAGTTGACATCTACACTAACGGTCTTACTATTCCAAGGGGTTTATTCAGAGACCACTCAATCCCTTTCCACAAAAGGAATCATGGGTGAAAAATTAACACAGAGCTAAATCATCTCTTTGCCTTTCCCTGTGTCTTCCCTGCTCGCAGCCTGAGGGTCTTCTCTGATTCTAGCTAACGGCCCTAAGAACAGGGCTCTTCCTTGGCCCATTGTCCTCCCAGTCATAAGCATCCTTTCACTCCGAGGATTCTATACCATGATATCCCAACCCCTCATCCTCCCACCTCCCCCAGCACCTCCAACCTCATTTCCCACAATCCTCACAGCCCCCACAAGATGCCCAGGGTTATAGTCTGTGCCTGGGGGTAGGAATGGGTTTCCTTGCCAGCACCTGGCCTCTCCCTCTCTGCAGGCATCACTTCTCTGTGCTGGTGGCGCATGCCTTTTAGACCAGCACTCGGGAGGCAGAGGCAGGAGGATCTCTGTGAGTCTGAGACCAGCCTGGTCTACCAATCTACCAAGCGAGTTCCAGGACAAGCTCCAAAACTACGCAGAGAAACCGGGTCTCTAAAAACAAACTAACAAAAAGACAGGAGGACAATAGCTGTGAACTGGGAGACCGCCATGTGTTGGATGAGTTAAAAGCATTCACCGAGCATCCCTTACTCAGGACACACTAGGCCAAGGTTATGGATGGGCACAAAATCAAGCTGCGTAGCAATGTCCTTGTCCTATACCGACTCTGTGGCTCTCTCCATTCTATCTTGTCTCACTCCCCTCTTGCCTCCCAGAAGGCAAGAATCAAATCACCATCCCTTCAGTCTTTGGAGTCAGCTCAGAGTTAAGGGTTCCAGGACAAGAGCTGGGTCCCCAGGAGGAATTAAACTGAGAAAGGAACAACGAAGAACAGGACTCCCGCTGCGCCAGTGGGCTAATCCCTTGGTTCCTGCGCCGGGCACTCCTCCAGCCACAGCAGTCCTGAGGCTTTGAAAAGGAAAGCAGAGCAGAAGAAACTTTGAAGAGAGTTCCAGCTTTGCACACAGCTCTTCCGGCTTCTGTCCTGCCCCTGGGGAATCCCCAGGGCCACCTAGATCAAAGAGCAGGCGACAGTGCCTCTGGGCCTCTAACCTGCAGCCATACAGCGCCCCCTGGTGGTAACAGTTTCTCTTGGCAGCCCAGGCCAGGGCCAGGATGCATGCAAGACTTTTAGAGTCCCTTGCAAGACAGAACTCCAGGTCCTTTCTCTTTTTAAAATACAATTTGCTTCATATTATCCAAAAAATATGTACAATTTCGGTATTATGTATACTAAAAGTTCTAAAAATTAATGTCTTCAAAACACAAACAAAATTCCACATCAACTTGCCAAAAAATAAACATCCAGGTCATCCAGATAAATTTGGATATAAGATCCATGAAGAATAATTGCATAGAATTATTTATAAGTGATTTAAAATTCAGATTTAGGTGACTTTGTGTATTTGCTACGTCTGACAACTCAGCATAGTTTTCCCTTTCCGTATATGGAGGTTTTCACTAAAGAAAACAGTGGTACTCATAAGGCAAGCTGTTTTTTAATGACGTGGACTTTTAGATATTTGGAGACTGTAGTCTCCCAAGCTCTTTTTTTATCCCCAGTCCAAGAGGCTTTTCTGTTCCTTCCCTGGCTTAACCTCCAGGGACACCCATGCTTCTGCTGCAACACTCCTGGGGACACACCAGCCTCAATTCTATGACACAAAAAAGCACAGGTAGAACCTTCCTCAGTTTAATGTCTGAATCTCAGGACTCAAACTGAGGGTCTATCCTCTTCCCTGGGACTCCCCAGTCTCTGGTTCTGTCCTCCTGCCTGAAACTGCCCAGCCTTTTAATTGTGACACAGTAGAATGGTAGCCATGGTGATCATTGTGGGGTTTAGTCTGTCTATTCCCTCACTAGATGACAACCTCCACACGTTCCAAAAATTCACGCCTATCAGGATCTCCATCCTATTTTTATGGGATATGTTCAAAAGGCTTATACATGACAAGCATTTTAAAAACTTCATGTTAAAAAATATAAAAATATACACCCCAAAAATGTTTGGGCATGGGGTATGGGATGAAAGTGAGAGTTTGGGGTTTCTGTGGAGAGAGAGGTCTCTGGGTCAGACACACTGAACTGGACTCCCTGCCCCACTGTTTTCTGACTATATGATTTCGCAGTCCCTTACGGCACACCACAACCGCACTGGCTTGAACCAGTGCATCTTTGCCAACTTCCAGCTCTGGTGGTTGAACTTAACTCTGAGCTGCAGTCCTCTGTAGGCTGGAGAGAATCCACTTCCTCTCCCTTTCCAACTTCTAAAGACCACCCCAGTCCTTAGACTCTCCATTGATCTTCAAAGCCAATGTTCTGACTTTCCTCTATGGTCCTAGTTCCTTTAGGATTAGAATAGACTCACCTGGGGAAATTCAGAATAATTTTTTGTTGGGTTTTTTTTTGAGACAGGGTTTCTCTATGTAGCTTTGGAGGCTGTCCTGGAACCCACTCTGTAGACCCGGCTGGCCTCGAACTCACAGAGATCCACCTGCCTCTGCCTCCCAGGTGCTGGGATTAAAGCATGCACCACCCCTGCCCAGCCAGAATAATCTGTTTTAAAACCATTTGTGAAGTTTAATCCCCTTCCTCAGGTAACTTAATATATTCATCACAGGTTAGAATGAGGACATTTGTGAGGGGTCAGCAGATTGCCTATCACAGAACTATGGCAATGATGGAACCTCTGACAGGCTGTATGCTTATAAAATTGAGTTCTTACAACAGTTATTATAGATTAAGAATGGTAATTGTATTAGTTATCCATTGTTATGTATAATTATAATTACTTCAGAACTTAATGAGTTAAACAAATGTCGAGTAAGTGGTTCTAGTTGGAGTCTTTCCCAAAGTCACAGACAAGATACATACGAAGGCTCCAGTTCTTTAAGGTTGACCTCCAAGATGGTGCCTTCAATAGCTGCTAGTATGAGACCCCAGTCTCTTGCCATGTGGGCCTCTCCATGGGGCCACAGAGTGTCCTCACAATATGGCAGGCGGCATCCCCCTGAGATACTGGTCCAAACAAAACAAAAACATAAACCGAATTTCTTTTGTTTGTTTTTTAATATAGCCAGCATATCTTTGTTGCTTAAAATAATTCTGAAATAATAAAAATTAACCATAACAATACTCATGAAAACTTGAGTATTTAGATTAAAAGTATCAGAAAATCCTTTCTTGGGGCTGGAGAGATAGTTCAGCAATTAATAGCACTGGCTGCTCTTCCAGAGGACCCAGGTTTGATTCCCAGCCACACCTAGCAGTTCACGACCACCTGTAACTCTAGTTCCAGGGGACCCAGTGTCCTCTTCTGGACTCCACAAGTGCTGCACATGTATGGTGCATAGGAAGATTAGCAGGAGCCGGGAGGTGGTGGCACACACCTTTAATCCCAGCACTCGGGAGGCAGAGGCAGGTGGATCTCTGTGAGTTCCAGGACAGTCTGGTCTACAGAGCGAGTTCCAGGACAGCCTCCAAAACAATACAGAGAAACCCTGTCTCAAGAAACCAGAAAAAAAAGATTAGCAGGTAAAAACACACACCACACACACACATACACAAATACAATGTTTTTTAGTTAAAGACAATTCTTTCTCACGTTGAATGTCACATGGGATACCCAATATGCCCACCAGGTACCAGGCAAGTGCCTCAAATATGGTCTAGACCTCTCACTCCCAAGGATGAGATTGGTGTTTAACCAGCCAAATGGAGGCTACATTTCCCAGCCTGGGTTGCTCATGCAAGATGAATGGAAATGATGCATCCACCTTTCAAGTCTTGAGCCAAAATAGAGCCTACCTCTCCTTTCCTTACAGCTCTTCTGCGAGCTACAGAGGCCTGGGCCAGCAGCCTTGAAGGCAGGAAGGCAAGCCCACTGTTGAGGATCTACATCACTGACATTAGAATAAAGGATTATTTCTAAGCCCTTTTTTCTCTCTCTGTTACATCAACTTAAATGCAACCAAGGAGTTTAAAGGTCCCAACCATTAAACCCAATATTCATTATTTAACACTAGCTGATGTGATGGAGCCCTTGTCTTTAATGCCACTTTTCCTTCTCCCCCTGAAGGACAGAGCCTGAGAGTCCCAGGGGCCAGTTGACTCTCATCTGATCTTCTGCCCCCCTCCCAAAGCCTCACAGAGTCTGGTAGACCTGCCACTTCTCTGTCTCAATACTACACTGTGACTTCAGTGTGCCATGGGCTGACTAAGGCGAGTGCTCCATGACAGGACTGTACAAGGAACCTCTGACAGCTCCAGTTGAAGTTGACCTGATGTGCCTTTTGAATCACACACACACACACACACACACACACACACACACACACACACACACACACACACGCTCCCAAGGTCAGCATGTCTTATCCTAGCATCCAACGTTAAGTTCCCCTATGTTGGAAGATTCTCAGGAATAGTGGGATAGAGGCTCTTCTTGGCTGCCTGCAGCAGGAGGCTGTAAGACCCAGGGGTATTATGACATGCTCCAGGAAAAGGCAGTTTTTCATTTGGCCAACGGAGGCCCCAGCCCATTGGGGCAAGGAAGCCGGACCGACATGCAACAGGGGCCTGGGGAGCAGCCCTCAAGGGTCCCGAAGAAGAAGGTCGAGGCTGGGCCGGAGACTGTGAGTCAGACTATTTCGGGCCGCGGTCGGGTGCTGCTAATAAGAGAGTACTTGAAGCAGGAAGAGAGCTACACGACCCTGCAGAACGTTCTGGGTCAGCCTCGGAAGGATCCGAACGCTGAGCCCACCTACAGTCAAGCAACAGACAGCCAAAGTAGTTCCAGCAGTGCCAGGAGGGAACTCAAGCGCACCAGCGACTGCTTGCCTGACAGCCCGGAAGCCCCGGCCGCCAAGTCCAAGCGCTGCAAGGAGAAGTCGGAGAAGCCTGAGAACCCGGAGGAGCCCGAGAACCCGGAGAAGCATAAGCCGGAGAAGAAGCAGCTCAAGGATCTCAAGGAAAAGGACTTGCCCGATCACAAGGGACCTCGAACGCTACATGGGGCCTGCAGCTCGACTCAGATCACCGAGCTAACCTCGGAGCCCGGCAAGCAGCTGCTCCTGGTGCTGTGCCATGCATCGGCTCTGGGCACGCAGCTGCCGCGGCTGCAGCTGCTCCTGCAGCAGGTGCGCGTCCAGGACCGCCGCCCGCCCGCCGCCCTCGTCGGGATCCTGGTGCAGCCGCGGCCGGATGAGGAAGCAGAGTCGCGCCGCCGTCTGGAGGACCTGCTCTGCAGCATCTTCGCTTCGGAGAACCCAGGGGTCGAGGTGCACACAGCAGTGTTCTGCCCCAGCCGCCCCCAGGGTGTCCTGGACGTCCAGCGCGCTGCCAGCCAAGCGCACATGGTCCCCCTAATGGATCGCCAGACCCAGACGGATGGTGAGGGGCTCAAGGGTGGAGACTGGGACTGTTGTTCCCCTGAGAAGTGGGGAAATCCCTGACCTCACTGCCCTGTGTTGGCGCCTCCAGAAGTTTGGAGGTACAATCTGAATGGTAATAAACCGGCATCCTTTTCCCAAGATGTGCGGGCTGGGGCAATTTGAGAGCATTCAAGTTAACCCAGAGGGTTACCTCTTCCCCACATCTGCCCTGCCCACAGCTTTGGAGAAATCAGCTTTTATAACGTCCTGAATGGGTGTGTAGGACCTACAGTAATCCACCCCCTCCTCTCCAAATGCACTGACAGGTGCCCTTCCCAAGTTTTTTAGTGGATTCCTATCTCCTATTACTCCTCCAGGGGATAAAAATGTCAATAAAAAACAGCCTATTGTGAGCCAGTCACTGTGTGAAGGGCTTTAACCTCCAGGCTTCACAGCAGCCCTCTAAGGTTGGGACTTCAGAAGAGTTAACTAGTTTAACACTGCAATTTTGCTCAAGACCCCCAATGCCCTCCCTGTGGCCCTGGGGGCTAGTTTGTGGCCTAGGGTCCTTAACCAGTTGATTCTTAACCTGAGTTTCCAGCACTTTCTGTTTCCAGAAGCCCCTTTCAGGGACAGCACAGAGACCTGTGTTCTGAGGCAGGAACCTCGATGGCCCATTACAGAGGCTCCGCCCACCCTTCAGCTACTGACTAAGCTCCTCCTCTTTAGACCCATCACTCTCCCACAGGACATGCAAGGATGCAGGACTGCTCCATGCCAGGTTCAGCACAGAGAGGCTAGCTTCAGGATAATGGTGACACACTCATTCTAGTGTCCAGAGCACACTGAAAGATCAGAGCCTCCGGGACAGTGGAGGGAACAGGGTATGATCACTCTCAAGACCTTGTAACCTCATTCCCTATCTCCCAACCTTTAAAACTCATTCTTTTCCTAAACAGCCACTAGCACGGCTGTGTTTCACATGGATAGTTACACATGGTCAATTGTGACTCTCAGTGGGGACTGCAGAACTCCTAGTCCATCTTTGGCACAGCCTCTTAATAGGGAAAGTTCCCCAACTCTGCCTAGAGCTGTTCCCTGGGCTCAGTCCTATTCCTTTCACTCTCTTTCAATTCAGACAGCTTGCATAGAACCTGCTGGCTTTCCTTGCCCAGATCTAGGGGTTGAGGCGCGAAAACTAAGAAAAAGCTTGAACAAGGCAAGCCCACTGTGACTGCTGTACAGGAATGGCCCTTGGCAGGGAACCCCCAGGAAGGCTTCTCCCAGCTTCCAAATCGTGCATTTTCTTCTTAATGGTAGAAACACTCCTCAGTCTGGTTCCTGCCATCTATCTCCCAGCAGCACAGCCTCTGTGCCCCGTGGCCTCTCTCTGGGTGAAATGGAATAGCTATTTCATGGTCATTAGGACGTTCTACTATATATGTCCCTGCCCCCCATCTGAGAGCTGTTCTCAACCCAGGAACAATGTTGCCACTGCCTCAAAGCTCTGAGGATATTTAGCTACATCTAGAGATGTTGCTAGTTACCATGGTGAGATGCTGGGCAGTAAAGGCCCGAGAGGCTGCAGAGCTTCCTGTGACACACAGCACAGCCTCCCCCTGGAGACATTATCCAACCTACAGCATCCATCAGGGCTGAGATTGAGATGCTGGCTTAAATAAACCAGGTTAAGCTTCTCCATCAATGTCTTCCACTGACTGAAAAGGCAGTTTAGCCGAGACGAGCACCATTCAGACTTCCAGCCTCTCTGATTTGGATGGCATCCCCTCAGCTGGTCCACCACTCTCGCCCTCAGGAAACTACCAGTTTCTTGTAGGTTCACCTGCTGACTCAAACCCCTTATCCCAAATCAACCAAACACGCCCCAATGTCACTGATCCGAGCTCTAACCTTACACTTCTTCATACTTTTCTTCAATCTTCCCATGCAAGGAATTTTAAATTAATTAATTTCAAAGCCTGTATAATCTGATTCCCTACTTCCTGCTGGAGCCACAAACAAAAAGAACTCTTAACTGGAATTTAGTTCTGAATGTGCTGACAATCAGCTGGGGGTGAGGAGGTATTTATGTATGTAATTTAACTTCTCTGAACCTCAGTATCCTTTTCAGCAAAATAATAACTATTCATAGTAATATAGCGGTAAAGTCATTGCTGACTCTAGAAGCCTGAAAATAGACCCTCTCATTTCACTGCTGACAACTGGTCTGGCCTTTGTGTGGGGGCTGCTATGGGACATTTTTGGCTTGCTAGCCCTCCCCTGACCTTGTTCTGTGCCCTCCCCCTACCCAAATAGCTGTGGAACTCTGGGTAGGGCAGGTTACTTACCTAAACAGCTTACCTAGATCATGGAGAAAGTTCTGTCTCTTGCTGGGAGCACATTTTTCCTTTGCAGTGTGTGACATTTATTTTCAAAATGCCTTTCACTCTTCCATCCTAAAATGAAAGCCACATTGTTGATTTTTAAGGAAGAATCATAGTCTATTTGACCCAACCAGTGTCTTGGGAGGTAATAAGTTGGTTTTACCAATGTAATGAGTTTGAGAAATTAGCCGGTTTCTGGGAGCTGGCTTAAGGTAGAATTCTTGGCCAAATTCAAGAGTTCATATAAAAGTTCAGACACACACACACACACACACACACACACACACACACACACAGGAGCACGGTCCCTCCCATGAGGAGGGAGGAAGCATTTCAGAGGTGACAGAAGGAAGTGCGCTGTGGGAGGTAAAATGCTAAAAGAAGTCAAATCTTCAGGGAAAGTTCCCTAAAACTTACTAAATATATGGCGACCATAGATGTTTGTGTTTGGGGATAGACATGTGGAAACCAGTAACAGAGCTGAGAGTCCCATCCAGGATATCTTCGAATAAAAGATAGCTCACACAGGCCCAGGAACACGCAGTGGAAAGGTGCCCAAAACGGGTGCTCTGGTCACAGAATCAAGGGGATCCAGTTGTCATAAGCCCAGAGAACTGTCTTAATCAGGCCCTGAAGGGATAGGGCAGCTGCTGCCCCCTGCCTGTTCCAGCAGGACGCCCTGGAAGAGGAAAGATGCCCCAGCAAAGACGGTGCCAGAGCCCTAGCCATGGGATCCACCCTGGCTTTTGTGACCTCACAGGAGGTATGGATGACTTGTCTGTGGGACCTTGCTGTAGTCAAAGACCAGAGCCAAACCCATTAGGGAGACGGCCTCCCTAGGGAGGGAGCCAGGAAATTCATAGCTCCATGTAGCTCCACGGAGTTAGTCTAGAAGGACCACCATGAAGAAGGTCAAAAAGAAAAAGTCTGATTCCAGACGCCGCAGGAATTCCACTTCACCGCAGACTAGCTCGGACTCCTCACAGCAGCCAAGCTCAGAAACACCGCCATCATGTCCAGAGCCCATATCGCCACCGCTGCAGCCCCAGTCTTGCCACGTGTCCGCCCCACCACATCAAGTTAACCACGAGCGGATACCACAACAGCCTACACCCCAGGGTCTCCCAGTTGCCGAACGCTGTGCCTCAACTCCGTGCCTGTTTCCTTTAAGGGCTGAACCCAAAATAACCTCTCAGTCCAGGAAATCAGGTAGGCAGACTTCCTGGTTAAGCGGTTCTCGCGGATAGGGTCCCAGAATCACCAGAGGCGGGTTCTTGTATGATGATGGATAGTATGTTACCTGGAACCACGTTTATGAAGTATGAAGGGGAGTTACTACCAGAGAGACTAGGGTTCCAGGGTTTTGTCATTCCATACATCCCAGGTCTTATTGGAAACAGCCATGACTTCATAGTAACGTTTAACTTGGCTGTATGGTTAGACTCTATAGGAGTCATTTGGCAACTGTTTAGAAATTAAAAGCAAATACGGTCTAGAAAAAGGGAGGTAGTCATATGCCTTATGATTTTTTTTTATCTGACTGTTCTCACGAGAGGCCTGACTGTTCCAAAGAAGATAGACCAGGGTGATGGGGGTGGTAGTGGCGGTGTGACAGTTTTTGAAAGAACTGGGGTTTTCTGTTTGTCAGGTGGAAGATGGGAGGAGAGCTTTGTTTTGTTTTGTTTTTTCCATTTTGTCCTAAGAGGTCTGACCTTGGACCCACAGAGATGATAGCCAAAATTCAGGATTTGTGGCTAAATTCTAACTTCAGATAAGCTACAGATAATGTTACAGTTGTTAGTATATGTGCTCCAAACAAGCATCCTTTATTTCTGTTTGCTAAATTGTCAACTTTTCCCACACTAGAAATGGATCTGCTCGATGTCTAAAACAAACAACAAAATAACACTGTGTGTCCATTAGCTCTGTCTAAAATTAAATGGCTGACTGTCAAAAAGTGGTCCCCATCTTCTTGGACAGCCAATGAGAGGCAAAACTTTGGACAGTATTAAGAGGGCTCAGGTAGAGTTGGGAATTGGGATGCTTCAGACCACTAAGGATAATGGAGATAGTCAACCAAACTGACCACTGGCCATTCCTTCGGTACCTAGCACTCAAGCTCAGCCATCTAAGTTAATCTTCTTATCTGACAATACTGCAGGGGAGATACTATTCCTATGCCCATTGTATTGATAAGGAAACCAGGGCTAAAACTAGCCAACACACCTGGAAGCAGTCATTGGTACTGTTGGAAGGGGGACTTCAGACTATTCTGATTCCTGAATCCTTGTCTTTAACCAAAGCTGACCTTCCAATTCCAAGAAGTCAGCTGTCTCTCAAGGGGGAGGACATTTTTCCCTGACCTTCCCTTGAGCCAAGACCAGGTGCTCTGTGTCCTTGAGCACTCCGTACTCTCTGGGCCACAGCAATCCTAAAGCAGTCTGATTAGAAAACAAACATAGGACACAGCAAATGAGAGCTCTAAATCCAAGGCATTTCCAGGACACCATTGCCTCTGTGACTAAGCACAAGCCTGTCCTTGACATGTGGTGGTTGTATATAACTCAACCATGGAGAGGAACATTTCTGGAAGATCACCTCAGAACTGGTGTCGTCAGTAGAAGGCAAAACTGGCCTGTACCGAATCTTTTAAGTCTTGATGTGGTTGCTTAGAAAACAATGGGGCATTGAAGGGGCAAAGTAAGAAATGACCATGGCCCACTGCATTGTTAACTTTCTCATCACTGTGGCCTAATGTCTGAAATAACTGACAGGATGAATTATTCATACTGGCTCACAGTTTTAAGACTATCTACGCATCATGGCAAGAAACCACTCAGAATGAAGCAGCCAGGAAGTGGAGAAAGGGAATACAGAAAGGTCAATTATAGCCTTCGAAGACATACCCCTAGTATGTCTTCTGCTAGGCTCCACCTCCTACCTTCTACCAATGCCCAATAATGCCACACAGAGAATCCATGAAAGGGATTAGTCCATTCATTATATCAGAGCATCCACAGATCTAATTCTTCTCCAGAAACACTTTAAGAGACACACCCAGAGGTGTGCTTTACAGATAATCTTGGCATTTTCTAACCCAGGCAAGTTGAGATTTACCATCACCTTCACTGATGTTATAGTGGACACCTCTTATTGCTTCTCAAGGAATCTTCCCCATCTGAGAAAAAGCAGGAAGAAAGGTTGGAAATAGGGGCTGAATGAAGACTTATAAATATACGATGTCACTTTCTAAAACCAAGCCTTTTTAATGCTAAATATTGTGGCTCAAATCAATACCAGTGAGCATCCTAACAGCACTTCATAATAACTACAAGCTGGAAACAACCCATTGTCCACCAGATGAGGAATGGATACACTAGATGTAGTATAAAATAATCAGAATACCATGAAACACTACTTGTCAACAAAAATGACATCATTTATTGGTAACTACAACACAGATGAACCTTAAAAAGATTAGTCTGATTAGAGAAGCTAATCCCCCAAGAGTTAACAAATATGATTTCATTTGAAAAATGCCCAGAATAGATTAATCTATTGCCAGGGATAGAAAAAAGAGAAATGGCCGGGCGTTGGTGGCGCACGCCTTTAATCCTAGCACTCGGGAGACAGCGGCAGGTGGATCTCTGTGAGTTCCAGGACAGCCTCCAAAACAATACAGAGAAACCCTGTCTCGAAAAGAAAGAGAGAGAGAGAGAGAGAGAGAGAGAGAGAGAGAGAGAGAGAGAGAGAGAGAGAAATGGGAGATGGGGTACGGTTTCTTCTTCAGGAGACGGAAGTGTCCCAAAGCTACATAGTTGTGACAGTCACACAACTTCACAAACATACTAAAGTCACCTAGCACACTAATAGTAAATGTAAGGACTTTGAGAATTATATCTGAATTTCAACTTTTTTTTTTTTTTTGGTTTTTCGAGACAGGGTTTCTCTGTGGCTTTGGAGGCTGTCCTGGAACTCGATTGGTAGTCCAGGCTGGTCTCGAACTCACAGAGATCCGCCTGCCTCTGCCTCCCGAGTGCTGGGATTAAAGGCGTGCGCCACCAACGCCCGGCTTGAATTTCAACTTTTTAAGCTGAAAAAAAAAAGTGCTGTTTGTGGAATCCTTGCTTCCCCCATTCCAAGAAAATCATGTGTACTATAGATGGCCTAAGCAGGAAGTGTACGGAGCTTGCTATCTGAGCAACCAGCTTTGTGGCGCTTAGGACTGGAGCCCTTGTCAAACCCAGTTGGAATTATCTATCAAAAAGTGGCTTGCCCAGATACAAAGGATACCATCTCTGGGTTCTGCTAAGTCAGGTCCCAGAAGAACACAGAAATGATAGTATTGAAGAACTGTTTCTGGAAGGATGAAACTGGGATGTTTGTCTTCGGGATGCACTTGTACCCACCACACACACGGAGCACGGCAGCATCAACTCCAGGACTCTCGTTGCAGCCTCTCATGGGCAGCGCCATCACCTACTCGCACCCCTTCCTGCCAGTTCCCTGGGAAAGATTTTCACTGACAAAAAAGTTAAAGATCTTGCTGGGCAGTGGTGGTGCACACCTTTAATCCCAGAACCTCTGGAACCAAAGGTAGGAACTCTGAGAACTCAGCCTGGTCTACAGAGCGAGTTCCAAGACAGTCACGGCTACATAGAGAAATGCTATCTTGAAAAAAAAAAAAAAAGAAAAAGGCTAGGGATCTTGAGCTGAGGTCCACTTCTGCAATGTACTTACTGTATTCTTTGAGCCTCGAGTCCCTTGTCTGAAAATGAAACCAGCCGCATTCCATGTCACGGGATGGCTGTCACAGTTAGACATGGATAACGACAGAAAGCACTCTGCAGGTGTAAGCAGCCACCTTTTCGTTGCTGTAATTCTTCCCAAGTAACACCAGTCTAGAACCAACCTTTTCTTCCAAGCAGCTAGTCCCCGCCTGTGTTTGAGAAGAGGTGGCACTATAGGAAAGCTGCCCTCTTGTCGTTGAATCTTACATCTTTGACAGTGTCTTTAAAAAACCTAGAGGTTCCTTTGCTAACACCGCAGCTGCCTCGGGTTACTTCTAGAATCATCCTCAATTCTGTGCCCCACCCCTAGGAACCAAGTGCAGCCCTTACCTCTCTCCTTCTCTATCCAGCAGCGCCTCTGACCTATGTGACTCCAGGCTCCTGCTCCTGTGCGGCCTGCCCTGGCAGCTCCGCCTGCCCTGGCAGCTCCGCCTGCTGGCGTCGTCTGGGGCTGTGCCACAGCCGCATCTTCGATGTTCTTCTGCCTCGGGACTGGCAAGCTATGTCAGGGAGAGGATTCCCAAACCTTCTCACCTTCTACAGGTTCTGGAGCCAGTGGGAGGGTTAATGCCTTGAGGGTATAGTTTCCAGGGCCCGGCTCTGTATTCAGTCTTTGTTAGCAATTGTGTATAATAAATTCCCCCACAACCCACAGATCTTTCCAAAGGAAAGCCTTCCCCTCTAGAAGGGCAGGCTCCTGTGTGGCACCTTTTCTCTTTTCCACAAAAGTCCTCAATTCCGGCAACACCCTCCCCCTAGCCCGTTATAAACTTCAGGCATCTGGAAGCTTTGTGATTACACATTGGTTGTCCACGTCTTTTTTTTTTATTATTCATATCATACGCAGGGAGCATCTCCCTATTACACTGCATGTGAATTACCCCTGAAATTCATTGATAACCCTGATTATAACTCAAAGGCTAATACTAGCAAAACCGCCCCATTCAGAGTATGCAGTGTTGTCGTGAGTATTCACAAGGGCCATATATTCCAGACTGCTCTGTTATTGATGGCCCTCTCCTTCATCATGGCATCACCCAGTCTCTGCCCTGCTGTTCCTCTTCCACGAAGACGCCAGAAGAAATATCATCTAGCCACTGTCACTCTTGCAACAACCCCTGCCCATGTTAAGAGCAGACTGAAGTTGTCCTCATTCTTGCAGGGCTTCTGGGTTATATGTTGGGCTGGGAGAGGAGCCTTTCCCCAAATGAGCAGCCCTGCTGTACTCAAGACCTCACAAAAACCTGGGGAAGAGGTCCTCCCACATATCCTACATCAGGAGGGCGGCCCGCTGTCCCATCCTTCTCCTCTCCTGACCCTTTCCAGCTCCCTCTCTTGCAGACATGAAACAGAGAGAGAGGGAGGGAGAGAGGGAGAGAGAGGTGAGAGGGGGGAGAGGGACAGAGAGAGAGAGAGAGATAGAGACAGAGAGAGAGGAGAGAGAGAGGGGGGAGAGAGAGAGGGAGGGAGAGAGAGAGGAGAGAGAGGAGAGAGGGGAGAGAGGGAGGGAGTCAGGGCTGCTCTAGGAAACAGAACATGCCTGGAGTCAGAGATATCATCTAGCCAATCCCATCCAGGAAGAGCATGCCCACCACTCACCCACACAATGTGTTCATTCATCTGCTGCCAGGTGGAGCTGTTGGTTCCCAAGGGTGAAAAATCAAAACCTACTCTGGTAGGATGGTAGGATGCTAGGTACTATGAGGGACCCTAAACAAGATCTTCACCTTCCCGACCTATTCAGCCTGGGAAGCTAGCTAAGATGCATGCATTTAGAAACCTCTACACAAAGCAGGTGGTGTTGGCTACAGGAGGGCGTCTGGAAGTTTCAGAGTAAGGCAGCATGTCAGGGGCTACAGCATTGTGCGCCCAGTGTATAAGCCAACTCCAAAAGCATCCTAGGGTCCTCTACAGCTTAAGATGAAGAGGGGAAGTGTTTTAAGCTATAGGAAAAACCAAACCAGGGTTCAGAGACTTAGGAAGGTGAGGGAAAGAGGCATGGATCCCATGGCCAGGGCAAGATGCGTAGTTTCTATTTCTCTTCCCACGGGAACCCGGGCCTCCACAGTCTTTGCCTTCTCAGAGGATTTCAGATAGATATTCACGCTACACACAGGTCCCACTTTAGTCAGCGTTCTGTCACATGGGATACTGTGCTCTCTGAATGCCTTCCTTGCAGTTACCAGCACACTCATTTGCTGTCCCAGTCTTTGTAGTGGCTATAACTAATATGTAATTTACTGATATCTAAAAATTCTGAAATGCCTCAGAGAGTTGTTGTGAAGCTTAAAAGAGGACATTGAGTGGGAGGTGTCTGGTACATGGCCTGGTACATCGTGGTCTGGACCACCCAAGTACCCTGTTACCCCTCTAGGCATTGGGCCTAGGCCAGCCCACCATCCCAGGGTCTTGTTGGAAACTTTGTTGTAAGGGGTGGGGACACCCATTTTGGTTGCCCTTTCCTTCCTTTAGGAGGAAGATCAGGAGGGGACCCTGTAAGTACCACTGTCTCCTTCCAGTACATGGACACTAAACCTTTCTCCCCAACCCCCACTCTCTGCTCTGCTTTGTAGAAAACCTTCAAGGAAACACTGTACTCCCCGTAACTCACGTGCTTCAGGCTCTCGGGACTGTTGCTGTGGCTCTGGGGGCCCTGGGAGCTGCCTACTTCATTGCTGAATCCTTGTGAACTGAACTCCAGGCCCCAGTCCGGCAGGTAGGAGGCTCGCCTTATCCCTTTTCTCTAGATAGCAATATCTCAAGGTGAAGTAGGCCTTCAGCCTCTCAGGAAAAGCTCGTGATCTAGGCAACTCACCCCTGCCTCAACATGGACTGTCAGGGCCCTCTCAGGCCTCTCTGGAGACGTTTTATTAGAACCATCATGACAAAGCCCCTACCTCCTCACATGTACCCCTGACTTGCTATGGCTTCCCTAGTCCTGGGAAGATGTAGGACGGGTGGGGTAGAGGTGCTCACTTCGTCTCCAGCCCGACCTCTCCTTGGTGTACCCCCAACTCCAGTGGCTGTTTCCACTGACACCTGTGTCCTCCAGCCTGCTCCACATGGTTCTTTGGAATGTGTGTGATCTCTCCCACTCCTCACTCATTGAGCCATCTCTGCATGAGGATGTCTTCAGTCACCACTCGTGTCTCACCTGAGCCCCCTGGGCCCCAGAAGCAGAGCCGGAAACAAGGACTGGGTGCACCCAATACCTCAAGGAAGTACCCTCAGGAGAAAGCAGGGGTGGGTGGGGAGGTAAGAACAAGACAGGTAGGCCTCAACCTGGATCTGTGGAGTCCCACAATGTTATTTGTACAACAGAACCACTCCCTCAAGAGACACGAGGCTTCCCCCTCCATGTCCCTGCGTCACTTGATCAGTATATGACTATATGGGTGTAGAGAGGAAATTTGGCTGTTGGTGGAAAAAGCAATTCCTTGGGCTGAGGGCCAGTCACTGGAGGAAGGGGGTAGCTCTTGGCCATCACCAGCCAAAATCCACCATTCAAAGAGCCAATGCATCCACTGAGAAGGGAACCAGAGGAGGTGATGGCCAAGAGCACCCACAGTCATCCCAACGCCTGGGTCTCGTTCAGTGGACGCTTAAGAAGTGATGGTTGAGGTAGGGAGGGAGAGCCAGGAGACGTTTCAGCCCCTTAGCCCTCTATCTCCACGGGAGTGGACAGGTGATGGCTGTAGTCAAACACAAGTCTGGGAATCAATGCTTAAAACATCCAAACATCCAAATCCTGCAAATGACTCTGGGAAGAGTGCAACTTCCTTGCTGGAGCTCCTGATGTCTATCCAAGGGTCCTCCAAGGGATAGTGTGAAACCACCCTGACCTCCAGGAAACACCACCGCACTCAGGAGCCTTGACTTCCCTCTTCTCAGACTTGCTGGGAGTGAGGAGGTGTTTGTAGGAGCTAGATGGTGGCTGTTGTGTCTTGTTGTCATAGCGGATGGTGCCTGAGAAGACACTGGCTTTGGAGTTAACTGACAAATCTCTAGCCTGTGCCACTTGGACTCTGTGTTAGACGCATGTTCTTAACTTCTCTGTCAGTGTCTGTCATGACAAGGGTCATGAAGATTCAAAGACATTCAGAGGTGCCCTGTGCAGGGCCACCACCCAGGGTGGGGTAGACAGTGGCACTAGCCACATGAAGGATGCAAGAAATTCATCTATGAGATTCCTGTAGCATCGCAGACTGCTTGAAGTATGGATTCTGCAAGCATGCAGGCTTAGGGCTAGATGTCCCTTTGGCAACCTGGGACAGCTTCTGACATCGAATTCTCTTCCCATTAAGTGGAGATAATGCCAGAAGAATTCTCTTGGGAAGACTGAGGGATGTCTCAGTCAATGAAGTACTTGCCTTGGCAAGCATGAGGACCTGAGTTCAGATCCCTAGCACTGCTGTAAAAAGCCTGACCCAGCAGTGTGGTTCCAATGCTGGAAAGGTAGAAGAAGCAGGAGGATTCTTGTAACTCTCTGGACAGCCAGTCTAGTCAACCTGTGATCTCTAGGTTCAGTGAGAGACTACACCTGTCTCAAAAGTAAGGTGGAGAGCAATTGAGGAAGACACAACATGTTGACGTCTGGTTGCTATACATATATGTATCAATGAGTACACATATGCAGAGTCAGACAGGGTGTTGAGAGAGAAGGGGGGAGGGAAGGAGAGAGAAGAGAGAGGGGGAGGTAAGAAAGAAGACAGAAAGAAAGGAGAGGAGGATGAAGAGGGAAGAATGGAGAGGAGAATAAAAGGAATTTGAACTCTAAGGTAATTTACCTTTTAACAAAAAGCATTTAGCTGTTGAACCCTCACAGGTAAGACTGTGAAAGTGGAAAGTTATGGAGATAGGTGACAAGGGGTTGACTAAGCTAATGGCTCTATCATTTACTTATTGTTTATTTTTCATTACAGATCCAGTTTCCAACAAAGGATCTCAACTTGTCACCAAAATAGAGAGAGAGAAATACCTTGCCTCTTTTCTTCATTTTATTTTATTATTTTTGAGACAAGGACTTGCTATGTAGCCCAGGCTAGCCTTAAACTCATAATCCTCCTACCAGAGCCTGCAGAATGCTAGGGTTGCTGGTGAGTGCTGCCACACCCAGAAAGAAATCTGTCTTCAGTGTGTTTTACTCGGAAATGTAAAAGTTGAACCCGGCACACAGTCAGGGAGGTAAGTGCCTTTACAATGTTTTTAGCTGGAGTAGGAACCCACCATTCCTGGTCTTTACAATGTTTTTAGCTGGAGTAGGAACCTACCATTCCTGGTCTTTACAATGTTTTTAGCTGGAGTAGGAACCCACCATTCCTGGTCTTGGCCTCTCCCCAGGTGGAGTCCCACTGGCACACATTCAACAATGCAGCTTTCCCTTTCCTCCCTCTAAAAACAAGAACAGCAAGGTTCAATTCAATGCCTAATTTAACTAGTCAGTTGCACCTCAGGCCAGTTAGTGGGGCAGGAAGGGTAAGCTAACAAAAAGACTGTGTTCTGGGAGGCAAGGGCCCTGAACCCAGCAGGGCTGTCTCTAGGAAACGGCCCCACTTAGCATCACTAGTGATAGGGTCCTGACCTGCTTGCGCCCTGTGGCTACTTTTGGCCAGTGCTGGGTGGACTTTTCCTTCTAACTCTTAAAACAGTCAGGTAGAATATTAGTCTACAGAAATCCCAGCAAAATCTCCCAGAAGAGGCAGGTATTACAAGGAAGGGATATGGACAGCACTGGGTACAGTGGCCTCTGCAGGTAGCTGGAGCCAGATCCTATTGGTGCCACCCATGCAGATGGCAATACACACCATCAAAGTAACCCCACCCAAGAGAAAACTAAGTCACTGTTGTCTACCATTGGTGGAGGCCTACTGGGAGAGAGATGGCTGTCCTTCTGTCCTCCTCCAGGGAAGGGAACCTGTAGACAGAGAAGAGCATATGGCAGAGAAAGCTGTGCCCAAGTATTATGGGGCAGCTAAGGGTGGGCTAAGAACCTGCTGTTTTTCTAAGAGTTGGTCAAGGGGGAAATCTAGCCAGTCTGCCCCAGGGGACTGATCTTTCTGTAGCAGTAGATAAGAACTGGGTGGGATAGGTCAGGCTAGTTAGTTACTGGGATCCCCAGAGCCCTAGAATATTTAAGGTAACCCCAGCAAACACCACTAGCTGAGGGAAATGTTCAGGAAACAGGTGGTCAGCACTGGGATTCCTTCCCTGAGCCTATAAAGCCTTCTCTGAAAAGTGAGGCAATTGAAGAATGCATAACAAGGGACAGGGAGGGTTTCTGCTGCCCTGTGGTGCAGTTGGAGATGAAGAAGCCTACAGATAACAGAGATCCAGGGGCCACTGCTTCTGCAAGGCCTGACTCCTATAACAGAAGACGAGCTCCTTTTCCTGGTATAATAATTAGACCCTCTTTTGTTGTAAATAACAACCTGGCAAAACCTAGACCCTGGTTAAACACATTCCTCTGCCCGGCACACATGCTTATGCAGCTATACTTGGAGCTGCTCATCACACAAACCAGACTCACTCTAGTTGCTCTCTTGCTCTTTCATCTTCTTGATCTCCCTCAGTGCTTCATGTACCCCAGGCTGGCCATGTCTCCCAGGCTGGCCATGTATACTAGGCTGGCCATGTATACCAGGAAGGTCTCATGTATTCCAAATCCCCTATGTAGGAGGAGACCACATTCTCTGAGAAGTCTTTGGAGCAATCCTCCTGCCTTCACCTCACCAGTGCTAGAATTACAGCCATACCCACCATGCACGGTTGATGCATGGTTGATGCAGTACTAGAGATCAAACCCAGGGCCTTGTACATTCTAGACAATCACTTATTTTAAATACATGACCACAGATTCCAGGTGGGACTATGAGCTGCTAGGAACCAAATCACCTATGTTTTCCATGCACTTACTGTTGTCCCCAAACCTCCTCCACCTCCTTCCCCCTGTCCCTAAGACACTGCCCACAGCACCTCTCTAATAACTACCCATTACCCTGTCCCTGAGGCATCGACTGATGGTACCATCTGGACAGCATGCCTGTTCTAGGAACCAAAATAAATGGACTCAACCATCATGGGTTCTTTTGTCTGGCTGCTTTTATTCAACATAAAGTTTTGAATTTATATTTCAGTCCTATATGTAGCCATTGTTCTGTTTTTATTTCTAAGTGTGTCACAGTCTATTCCTCCAATCATCTGCTACTGACATAAGATTATTTTTCAGGTTAGGGTTCATAAATAAAACTAATATGCTTGTGTAATTTTTTAAAATAAAAGCAAAGCTTTCATTTCTTTAAATACCTAGAAAATAAATCACTGAATCCTAAGGTGGGCATATGTTTAACTCATTCAGTGAGAAATTTTCTAAAGTGTTTGTGCCATCTGAGCCTCCTCCCTAGAACTGTGAGCATTCTGGAGGCTCCACATAGCCTAGCCATTTAATGAACCAGTGCATGGTACTCTGCTGAACAACAAAATACTTTTCTACTGACCCACTGTCTAGATCCTTTATTAAGGATAAATAATTTGTTATTTATTTAGAATATTTATTATATTTATTAAGGATAAATCTCAGTAAATGTATAGCTGTGAGAGAGGCCTTATAGTCAGGGTTAAGGCAAGCATATATATGATATGGAGATGGTGAAAATTCAGAGGAAGTTAAAATGGGTTGATCGTTGTGGGAACAGGGTGAACAGTGGTTCATGTTTACTCAGGAGTTCATGGCATGGCACCCCAAATATGCCGCTCTGCATAAGGACTCTTTTAAACTGAAAGCCACTGAGAAATAGCTCTTTGACCTCTCTGAAATACCTGAAAACAGAGCATGCTTTCTGCTATTACAATAAGATGAGTCCACCCCAGCAAGGGTAAACAGTCTTGTTCCTGGAGACAGCCTACGAGGAAAGAAGCCACACAAAGCTCACATCTGCCGCTAGCATCCACACATCTGTGCCCTTCCATGGTCGGGCCCCATACACACTCAGGCCTTTTGTAACTTCCCTACAAAATTCTCCCTGCTTGTGAAGATGCTCCATAAGCCTGCCCTTGTGGTTATTGCTCTGTACATGCTCATGTGTGCGTGGACCGCCTCATTAATAACTTGGTTTTTCTCTTGTTAATTTGCCTTTTGTCAGTCTAATTTGGAGAGCACTGCCAACAAACCTAACATGGGTAAATGAAAAAAGGATTTTCCCTCCATATTAGATGTGAATTTTTTCATCCCCACCCCCCCCCCCCAAGATCTTATGTTAAAACCTAAGCCAACTCCCAATATGTCAGTATTAAAGGATGGTTCCTCTGGAACATGGTTTGGTCATGAAGGTGGTGTCCTCGTAAATGGGTTTAGTATCCTTATTAAAACAAAAGCAAAAGGTCTTAGGGCTGGGGAATGTAGATCAGGTGGTAGGTTTGCCTAGGAATCAGCCATTAACACAACATAGACCAAATGTTTTAGCACCTGCAATCTCAGCACTCTCCCGGTAGACGCAGAAGGAGTAAAGATTGGGCTGGAGAGATAACTCAGAGGTTAAGACTACAGACTGCTCTTCCAGAAGTCCTAAGTTCAATTCCCAGCAATCCACCTAATAATGAGATCTGGTGCTCTCTTCTGGCCTGCAAGAATGCATGCAGGCAGAACACTGTATACATAATAAATAAATAAATAAATATTCAAGATTATATAATAATAAGATCTGGTGCTCTCTTCTAGCCTGCAGGAATACATACAAACAGAACACTGTATACATAAATATTTAAGAGCATCTAATAATGAGATCTGGTGCTCTCTGTTGGCCTGCAGGGATACATGGAGACAGAACACTGTATACATATATAAATATTCAAGATCGTCTAATAGTGATATCTGGTGCTCTCTTTTGGCCTGCAGGGATATATGCAGACAGAACACTGTATACATAAATAAATATTCAAAATCATCCTTCACTGCATAGTAAATTCAAAACCAGCCTGGGCTACAGGATACCCTGTCTCAAACCCAGTTATGTCTCCAAACAGTTTCTCCTCTGCTCTCACAACACTGAAGATTTCTAAAAAACCTCTGTGACCTCAGGAGAAGGGGAGACCTCTCCCCAACAGCAAGCAACACTGATGCTGTGGTCAATACCTCACCTCTGGGTCTTTCCAGTCCAGTTTGGACACAACATGGAGATAGAACCTATAGGTTGAGGGCAGACTTTAGGCCCAATCCCTGTACTACTGATCCAGTGGCATAAATAGAGTTCCCCCAAGCTCTCTTCAGTTTGGGGTCTGCTAGAATGACTCTAAGGAGCCAAGGAAACATGTTTATTTGCTTACAAAGATCTAGAGAGGGCAGGATATGGGGGTGGAGCAAGGAACTTCCCTGTCCTCATGCAACATCCTCTGTGAAGAGGTTCTCAACCTATGGGTCGAGACTCCTTTGGGGGTTCCAATGACCCACAAGGGTCACATATCAGATGTCCTAAATAGCAAGTCTTTACATTATGATTCATAACTAGCAAATTTACAGTTATGAAGTAGCAATGAAGTCCTTTTATCGTTGGGGTCACCACAATATGAGGAATTCCACAGCATTAGGAAGGTTGAGAACCACTGGTCTAGCTAGGGGTTAGACATCTGATCCTAGGATAAAACCCTCTGCAGTGATGGCGCATGCATGCCAATGACTTTGAAATGCTTTCTGGTAGGGGTATCAAAACCGCACATGTGGACTCTGTGACCCCCAAGTGCACACGGGGTACCTGCAACAAGAATGAGGACAACGGTACTGGGGACCCTCTGACAGTCTTTGTCCTCTCTGCGGGTCCTTCCAACAGACTGACCACAAACTTCAGACGGAGGACCTGTGTCCTGAGGACAGACACGAGGTATCTGCCTTTCTCACAGTGGTCTCCAAGGGCTGCAGCCTGTAGTGGCTCAAGGACCTACCATGGGCTGTTGTACTAGGGCCAAAGCCTTAGGTGAATGCTTGGAGTCAGGTGTTGAATGTCTTCCTTCTCAGGGCTATTTCCGCCTCTTGAGAACAAAGATGAGCTGGGGATCCGTCCAAGGCAGCGTTCACAAACCCCACAGGTGTCTCAACTAAGGCACAAGTAATGAAAAGGAAGCCCTTAAGCGGAGGGAGATGAATTGCCTCAAAGTGGAGCGGCCAGGCCCCACCCACCAAGGCTCTTAGCCCTCTGTACAAAGCCTATCCTTGGGCAAGAGGAGGCTCAAAGCTGGGAAAAGAAGCCGCCTTGGGCCTTGGCTGCGAGTTTACCTCTCACAGCTTAGCTCCCTGGAAACCTCCGGGGAGAAATGACTCACACACACATCCCAGCATCCTCTGCTCTTGGCAAAAGCAGCGTCTTGCCTCTCAGGCTTGGAGCTGCAGGGGGATGCAGTGTGGATGCTTTCTCTTCTTGCTCCCACACTGTTCACAAACACAGAAAGACCTCATTCACAAGCCGGCTATTGAAAGCTTGCTGGAAATGCAAATTGCTCAGAAGTGGATTCTTCTTTTCAAACACCAACGTTGCATATTCCTGATGAGAGCTGCTAAGCAGGCCAGGCTTCCCGAGGCGGGAGGCCCCTGAAGAACAAATGTTCCCGTTTAGAGGAAGCGGAACTTGGGGGGCTGGCAGCCAAGCAGGAGGCTCACCCCGTTGGTAACCTGCAGGTGTCAGGCCTCCTGCTTTTTTGGTTGACAGTGCCCCATCCTGACCCCAGTCCTACCACTTTTGTCCATTCATTTGGGTACCGCATTAATCATGGGTAGCCGGCTAGGGACTCAACCCGAAGGAACTGTTGCTCATCCACAGCTCAGTCCAGAGAACTGGATAAGTCACTAAATGAGCCGATAGCTCCCCTCCGACCCCAAGAACCCACCCCAGATTCTGAAGATGACTGACAAGAAGCATAAGGCTGGATCACTGTGCTCCCTCCCCTCCTCTGGTGCTCCTGACCCAGCCCCCACTCAGTATCCCAGGACCCCTTCCTCCCCACAGGCTCTCCCTTAGGGTAGGGTGTTCTCTCAGCTCAGGCATCAGATAGGAGTCACTGGGGCTGAGATAACTGAAGAGCGCAGGTTCCTTCTCTCCTCTCCATAGTTCCCCACCCCCCACCAAACAACCACTCAGTTAAACCGGGTGGTTTTCTTCTGGATTCTGTAGAATTTCATACCAAAGATTTGTAACCTGCTTTTTCCACTTTCCAAGAGAATCTTTTCCACAAAATCTCTTTGTGCGTGTGTGTGTGTGTGTGTGTGTGTGTGTGTGTGTGTGTGTGTGTGTGTCGGGGGCGTTTTGGTTTTACTTTGTTATTTTTTGGCCTCAAACTCATAGTGATCCTCCTGCCTCTGCCTCCTGAGTTTTGGATGTGTATCAACATGCCTAGCTTTCTTTGTATAAGATAGGATCTTACTATGCATCTCAGGCTGGCCTAGAACTCATGATCCTTCTGCCTCGGCGCCTCCAGTAGTACTGGGATAACAGGTGAACTTGACCAAACCCAGCCAGTTTCTCATGGCTGCATGCTGTTCCAGCATATGCCTGGTTTATAATGGATCAAGTGCAAGCCAGCCTGGCATACATTAGTAACTGGCTCACCATACCACTAGGTCAATTCTGTTTATGATGTCAGTTACAGTCACAAATAAAGGAGAAGAAACCAGGTCTATCTGCCGCATACAACAAGGGGAATCTAGTGACTTGTGTAACTGTATAATCCATAAGTCGCAGGCTTTGAGGACGGTTTTATCTATGGACCCCTTCTCAGATTCTTGTTGGCCTCAGTGTAGCATCGTGGCTATGGGTAGAAGCATCTGGAATGATAGCTAGCCCTCAAGGGCAAAAGTTCCCTGACTTGTAGATTTTTATGGTTTAGGGAAAGATTCTTATTCCTATGACCCACCTTGAGGAAGAATTCTGGTTTCTCTGACTCTTGGGAGGGAGGGGCAAAAAGGAATTCTGGTTTGTCTGATTCTTTGGAAGGGAGAGGCAAACAGGAGACTAGCAGAAAGTCAGAGACACTTGCCTGCTGAGCCCATGCAACCTTCTTTAGTTAAAGGGGCATACCAAAGCACCATACTTTGGAGTATTGCTTTCTGAGTTCCAACAGCTGCCAACAGTACCTGAGGCTACACTAGGTCTTTGTCCCCATCCAGAGAGCATGCCCACGAACATGTCAATCTAGCATCCCAAGCAAAAGTCCTATGGTTCAGTCTTCCTGAATCAACTTAGGTCACATAAACACCCATGACTGGGACCAGGGAACTGGAATTACTCAATTGGCTTATACCACTCACGACCCCCTTGTGAGTTAGGTTGGAACTATCTACTATTAGATGCAAGTAGATAATAATATAATAATGAAAGTAGATAAATCCTAAGGGAAGACAGGATATTTAGAATAAAAATCCCGTTATTTTAACAGAAAGTCATGGAATACTGAGGGTTTCAACATGTGTCAATTCTCAGTATTTTTCCTTTTGAAACATTCTCTTTCAAGGGATCTAGAGGCTTTCCAGTGTTTCACTTTTATAAATAGTGCTTTGGAAAAGATCCTTCTTGATGCTGTTCTCTGATTTCTAGACCTTTCCCCTTGTCCATGCCCAAGTCTTCAAGGTTGCCCCCCCTTGTCCCTACACATTCTAGCCCCTCCCTCCAAGCAGGCTACCTCACACCTTCATTATCATTACCTGCCCAGACTGGTCCAGATGGCCTTCTGAGGTTGGAAAATCTGAAACTCGATTCTCATCCTATGACAGTCAACTGTGATGAAAGAGTGTTCACATTAAATCAGAAATCCTGATTGGATGGACCCACCCACCTTGTCTTCAATCTAATTCTTTACTCCTCACTTTAAGCCAAGCACATTTTTGATAGAAATTTGTCTGAGCATCAAGAACATTGCCCTTCGTGTATTCTGTGAAAACACAGAAATCTATAGAAATCTGACTAAAGTGAATGCAGTAATGTACTGCCCACAGATGAGCTGACCACCTGGGATTCTGGTGTATTTACTGCTGACCATCTACAGTAATACCTCTCTCTGAGCTTTGTTTTAACTAAAGAAAACTGCCTTACCCAAGAGCATACCACTTCCCAAGACACAATGTAGGTTGAAAGACAAATCCATGCAGCTAATAAAAGCCTGGAACCAGCCTCAGTTGGGGATAATTCTGGAAGACCATCCCTACTGAATGGGAAACAAAACAAATAAACGAAGGACATGATTGTTCCTAGGTATGGGTTGAAAAGGAGGTTTATTGTAGATAGGAGGGAGAGTACAGCCAGAGGCATTTGGAAGAGGCCATACTGAACCAGGTCAAGAGTATGGAGGGTGAGGAGCAGTGATCAAGAGAGAAAAAGGGGGAGCAAAGAGAATACCTAGGAATCCAAAGACCAAGAGAACCAAGAGGGCCTTGTAGCCAAAATGGCTCGGTTATATAGGAATCAGAGGCTGGGGAAAGGGAAGCCCAGCCCCCTGGCTGGAGAGTTTAGGGTAGGGAGCCCGGTGAGAAGTGCTGAGGACCCAGGACCCTGTAACAGGTATCAGCTATGCTGAGAGCAAGAGTGGCCAACCAGTCCTGTGGGCCAGCATCTGCTTTGGTATGCTCAATAGGCACCTTGGTCAGCCATCTGTCCTGAGTCTGAGACCTAACATGAGTTCCAAAGCTGCTCGTGCTTCAGTTACCTGGAGTCACACAAAAGCCAAAGTTAGCAACTTAAAACAATAGTGTGTTATTCCTGGTGCTTTCCTCTGCCCCACACAGTCCAGCTGAGGTTCTTCATGCAACTTTTGGTGGAGAGTTGGGAAGAAACAAGAACCCAGGACATCTCTCAGCCTCGTGGTTTCTCTTGGCAATGTCGGCAATGGTCAGTCATCTGGTGTCTCTTTACAGGCAGCAGCTGAATTCCAATAGTGTTTCAACTGGACGAATTCCAGTATTCATCCATGGTTCAAGTTGGCCTGCCTTATTTTGGCTAATGTCCTGTTGGCCATGGCTGAGTCCATACAAAACTACACAAGAATTTTAATAGCAGGAGGTGTGGCTCTCCGGAGGGCCACCAACTCAATAATCTATCACAGTCTGCCTTCTGGCTCTCTCTCTGATTCATATCTACTTGTTCCCCTAGAACAAAACCTGACTTCCAGAGTATTTTAAAACAGGTAAGCCGGGCGTTGGTGGTGCACGCCTTTAATCCCAGCACTCGGGAGGCAGAGGCAGGCGGATCTCTGTGAGTTCGAGGCCAGCCTGGTCTACAAAGTGAGTTCCAGGACAGCCTACAAAGCTACAGAGAAACCCTGTCTCAAACAAACAAACAAACAAACAAACAAACAAACAAACAAACAAAAGCATGTTTGAGGTCTAAAGGGTCACCATCAAAGTCAGATCCTAGGTGAGTCAGGAGAAATAGTTCAAGGCCATTACTGATTGCAGAGATCTGTGTACTACAAAGACCATTGTCTCCCCTGAACACAAAGGAAAAATAGTGGTGGGACACACACAGGACAACCACAGAATTCTCTCACTCACAAAGGCTGAGTGGGGGTCAACGGGGTTTACTGTAACTATTAGTCCATAGCTGTTTTTAAAAAAATTCTTTTACTTACTAATCTGGTTGCATCTCACAACTTTTGATATTTTAGTCTCAATTCATTTTAGATTTGTTTTATTTTATGTGTACGAGTGTTTGACCTGTGTGTATGTATGCGCCCCATGCATGTGCTTGGTGTCAATGAGGTGCCCATTAGGGCATCAGATCCCCTGGAACTGGAGTTAAGGATCGTTGAGAGCCACCACGTGGTGCTGAGACCCAAACCCTGGTCCTCTGCAAGAGTACTAAGTGCTCTTAACCATCGAGCCATCTCCCCAGCTCCTGCTTTCACTTTTATTCAATTAAAAATATTTTTAGGAACTGGAGAGATGGCTCAGAGGTTAAGAGTACTGACTGCTCTTCCGGAGGTCCTGAGTTCAATCCCCAGCAACCACATGGTGGCTCACAACCATCTGTAATGAGATCTGGTGCCCTCCTCTGACTGGCATGCAGACAGAACACTGTATACATAGTAATAAATGAAATCTTTAAAAAATATTTTTAATGTTACTTGTGTTTTTTTTTAATCTGCCCCATGGCTCAATTCAAAGTATATTTCACAATTCTCATAAATTCTAGTAATCTCTAGATATGTTGTGCCCAAATTCTGAACCCCAAAATCACCAAGAGGCCCATTTGGATGCAAAAGCAAAGAGTCTTTTATTGTATTGTTTTCACGCGCTAACCCCATTAGCTCAGGCCCTTCATCCATTCACCATGACATATGGCTGGAGCAAGACCCCAAGAAACCACGAGGTGGGCACCTTAAAGGGCAGTGTAAGGGGGGTGTCTAGGGGTATGAAACAGTCTCAGGATTGGTGCGCTTCCAGGCTCGGGTGACCTACCCTGTGTTGATTGGTCAACTGGTTGTTATGGCCCATAGGCCCTCCCAGGGCGGTTGCTATGCTCTGTCACTGTTGTGCACTTGTCTTTAAAGAACATCCAGAGCCATAAAGCACAGGCCTGTCAGGTAACTTCTGGTTGGTTCCTTGCCACGAGGAGGGCATCTGACCTCCTAGCAACCAGGACAGGAGCAGCAAGGTCATGCAAGCACATGTCAGCCTGTAATGGCTGCTAAAATGAGGGGGTGGGCTGGTCACTTCAGATATCCGACCAAGATTGATTACAACTTAATATTCCTATGATTGATTACTGACCTAATACCTCCTGTGTGCTTGTTGCTTTTTTTTGTTTTATTTTGTTTTGTTTTTTAAGGTAGAAAGGGGCCGGGCATTGGTGGCGCACGCCTTTAATCCCAGCACTCGGGAGGCAGAGGCAGGCGGATCTCTGTGAGTTCGAGGCCAGCCTGGACTACCAAGTGAGTTCCAGGACAGCCTCCAAAGCCACAGAGAAACCCTGTCTCGGAAGAAAACAAAAAAAAAAGGTAGAAAGGGTTATTTTGGCTCATAATTGAAGAGTACAGTCTGTTGTGACAGCAAGAACCTGGGGGGGATGAATGTCAGTTCTCTGAAGTTCATTGAGACTAGTTTCATGGCCCAACCTTGGTGAATGCTCTGCATTTTTTAATTCAGTCTGACAGTCTCTGCTTTTTATATAAGTATTTAGTTCACTGCTATTTTTGTTGTTGTTGTTGTTGTTTTTGTTTTTTGAGACAGCGTTTCTCTGTGGCTTTGGAGACTATCCTAGAACTAGTTCTTGTAGACCAGGCTGGCCTCAAACTCACAGAGATCCGCCTGTCTCTGCCTCCCAAGGGCTGGGATTAAAGGCGTAAGCCACCACCGTCCGGCTTAGTTCACTGCTATTAACTACTAACACCTCGGACTTTTCTATGTGTCTGTTATATTTCTTTTCTTCTGCTTGTCCTTCTGTCTCTTGCCTGGTAAACTGAGTATCATTTAGTTTGCCAATGATGTGCTCTGTTAGCTTTTCATGTTGTTGGTTTTTTTGTGGGGGGGGGGGCGTTGAGATAGAATTTCTCTGTGTAAACCTGGTTGTCCTGGAAATCACTCTGTAGGCCAGGGTCTGGCCTCAAACTCAGAGATCCACCTAAGCCTGTCCTTGCCTCCTGAGTACTGAGATTAAAGGTGTGTGCCATCACCACCCAGTCTCTGTTGGTTCCAATATTTTTTTTCTAGAAACCAAGAAAGGCACCCTCAGTTTATCTATGCCCTAGAACTCCAGCTTACCTGCCTAGTCTACCTCCTCCAACCACTGTTGCTTCCTATCTCTGAGAGATCTGTTCCTTGCCTACACTATCCCTCTAGTCCTGGAAGATGTTCAGTCCTCTTCATTCGCCAGTCACACACTCACTTCAGCCGAAACAGACAGAATGCAGGAAGAAGGTCTGTTTATTTGAGCAATGCTCTTCCCAACTTTAGAGTAGTTGTGTAGGGGACTTCCCTCCCATAGTCTCCCCTGTATAGTAAACACAGACCCCCAAACGCCCACCGTCTACCTCTGGTCTTAGGGTAGACTCAACTGTCTCTACAGAGAATGGGCAATTCCCAGAGCTTCTAGCCCTAGACAACACAGCAGCATCTGGGAATAAAGAAAATTCCAGAGAGTAACTGAGTGCAAGAGCTGAAGAGAGTGGAGACTACGGAAGGCAAGAGGCTGTGAATGGCTGCAGTTACAATGGAGCTGCAAACAGAGTGACTGGAGAGTTCTAGAAAGCTGCTGAGTCATCTAGAGCTAAGAGCAGAGAGCCCTAGTAGGCCAGGCTCAGAGCTGTAACACCGCCTGCTGAACACTGGCTTCCTAGCATGAAAGGCTCAAGGCAACGTGTCCCTGCCTTTGAGAGGCTACAGTGCAAATCACTGGCTTGTGCCTTGTTCTCCATGGTTAGAGATGGAAGCCCCTGGCTTTGAAAACCTAGTTCAACACATCTGCTGCTCAGTGGTGCAGGGCTACCAAGTTATGGAGTTTCGTATCCTGCTTGGGATTTCCATGAGAATACAACAAGAGAACCCTGGTAAGCTTGCCACTACATTGGGACCAAGCTCTAACACATGAACCCTTGAGGAGACACATTTTAGACAGCCAAACCATAGCAGGGGCTATCCAATTAAGGAAGGAACAATCCACACAAGTTTGTAAAGACCATGGTTGCTTCCTGAGCACATTGGACCAGCACCATTTCTCCAGGAAGTTAGGATCATAGAAACCTAGGCTCAATCCCCTGCTTGATCAGGCCAACTAGATTTCAAAGTAGACCCAAATTGCTGGACATGGTGATGCACACCTTTAATCCCAGCACTCCAGAAGCAGAGGTA